AAAAGGGACATATGAAATGCTTTAGCATTTCAATAAGCATCAGTGTGTGATGTAATAATAAAAAATAATAGAAAACTTTATCATCTATTTCCTCCAGGTGATCCGTAAACCATAATTAGTCACATCTATTATTATTAAACCTATATAAAAGGTAGCAATGGCTGACAGAAGCAGATCGTATGGATTTAATAAGTCTTACATGTGGCATTTACAGACTTACGTATATGTAGGAGTAACATAAAACAAACAATATCCTGTAAATATCTAATCCACCTCAAAACTACTTCAAATTATTTACAATTCCACATTTCTTTGAGTTTATTCAGCCTCAGTTAAAGGTCACTTAATATTACACACTTAATATATAAACGCTGAAATCATTTAAAAATGATGCTTGTTTAAATATGAAACTATTCGGTTGAAGAAATTAGAAAAATAAACAATGTTAAACCAACATGGGAGTACGGCACTTAGTAAATAATACGGCCTTTTCTGGATTTTTATGCACTTATTATGTCTGCTGAAGTGGACTAATTTAGATTCAGTTCATTTAAATTTGGATCCATTCAAATTGCAAATGACACCTCCGACCTGCCAGGCGGTACTTTAGTTAGCCTTTGTTGGGATGCTGTTTTCTCTTTTGTAGGTTTATTTTTCTGCAGTCTGGTACTAGTAGGGCCGTGTATAGGGTTGGCCCCCTGCTGTACTGTTCTGCTATTTTTGATCGGCTCACCAGCTCCAACTTTCTGTTAATACTTTGTTTTTGTTTTTTGTCTTTTCTTTTTTTTCTTGGACACAGAAGCTGAGGATATTTAATTGTGTTTTTTTTTTTCTTTTTTTCTCTACAGAACATCCCCACAGCTGTCCTGTGAAAATATGGTTTTGAAAGACAGTTAAACAACAGAATGAATAAAAATAAATTATTTTCTTACCCTCAGTTTTTTCTGTCCTCAAATATGTTGAGCCCTTGTGGGTGTAACATATTTATGTTTAAAAAGTGTTGCTATTCATCGCTATATAGATAAAGTGAAATTGAATTCATTGTAAGGTCATTAAATCTGAACTTAAATTGAATTAACATCCACACACGTAAACTAGACATGTATTCAATTAATTTCAATTCAATTCAGTTTATTTCTATAGCGCCAATTCACATCATGTCATCTCAAGGCACTTTCCAGCTCACCAGATCATCCAGTCACATTGATTCAAAGTTTTCTATCTAAGGAAAACCAG